TGTTGAAATGTTTGGTTTGACATTTCCAAATCAAATTTTTTCAGAACTTTTCATTCTGAAAAAAAAAAAGAAAAAAAAAAAAAAAAAAAAAAAAAAAAAAAAAAGGGAAATTTTGACTTTGTCCTGAATTGGGACAAAACACCAAACCTCAAAATATCCATATTTTTAATAGATGAGAAATTCCACTATTTGATCAGCTTTAGCTGTTAATCAGCACAAAGCAGTTTACATTCCAGCCATATATTCTTGGAATATGAGGAATAAACATCACCTTAGCACTAGTAGCTCTGTTGTACTGAGGGACGACCTACAGGTCCAGACTTGGCAGCACTGTCTGAAACCATTGGGCTGTGAAGTGGCATCATATTTGTTGTCAACTTAGAAGGAGCTGCTTTCATGGAGGGTACCCCTTTTGTGTTGTATCCCATGTAGGTTCCACATATATGTGGTTTGAAATGCTCATTTAATGAAAGCAGAATCAATCTAAAATCAGACACTGTGCCTTTTTTTTTTTTTTAAATGAAACACACAATACCAACCCCAAAACATCCTATCAGGTGAAGCTTTGGATGACTGCATTAGTGGAAGCTGGAATTCCTGTTTGGATCCCACTGAGGATGCAAACATGTTCTTTATGGGGGTCCTCTTTCCTTTAACTGTTAGCCAGGAAAGGGATCAATCTGTTGAAAAACTTCAGTACAGAGGAGGTGGAGCAGCATTGGGAAAGAAAGTGACCTTTCCCTTGTCCTGTGAAAACACTGCATTCCCGTTTGTGCCTTTTATTCCTTACCCATTTCCACCGTGGCTTGTATGAGCACTTGTACTAAATTAATGCCATGACAGCAATAGCTATTTTAAATATGGTTGCAATTTCATGCCCCCAAATTTCCTCTGTTATCTTTAATCTTTGATCATTACAGTCCCCAAATGGAGATTTTTCGGTGAGCTGCAGTTTTTATGTCGGTGCTGTTTAGAATTAGCTGGTCCGCTTCCTAAAAAGCCAAATGTTTAATCAATACATATCCTACTGTGTATAATAAATACATTTCTGCCATCACTTTTGAAGAGAGGATGCCATTGATTTGAGCCAAATAGTTTGCAAAATGGTAAAGGAGATGGGTTTTTTCATAGCTATTTAACATGACGGGGCCAACAGGCAGATTAGAGCATAGAAACAGCATCTGAAATTCTAAGAGGAAAGTCTCTTACAGGAATTTGTTTATTTTGAACATTTGTTACATTAACATTCGTTCCAATTGTAATGATTGATTGATTTGGACTCTCTTTGCTCTATGGCTAATAATTTGACAACCTTTCAATAAACTGAGAATGTGGAGATTTGGTATTTTGATTTTGTTGTTGTTGTGTTTCCTTTTCTGATCTTTGGAAGAAAACTTCCATTTTAAATCTGTAATAACACAGGCTGATTACTTCCCATCAACTCCCTGGCTTCCAGGACAGAATTTTCAGGCTGGTTATTGTTTGCACTGCTCTGCTATAAAAGTACAGGGTCTGTAAATTAAAATTGGACTGTAATAGTTTTAATCTGCAATTTTATAGTCCTCTAATCCAGTGATCATGTTGCATTTCAGGCTTTTACTATATTGCCATCTTTTCTGGAGGAGGGCAGTGGTTGGAAAGCTATTTTAGACACAGCAGAGAGTTAATATTTATTGATACACTTTATTATTTATTTATTTATTATAATTCTAGATTAGAAATGGACAGCAGTGTTGTTATACGTTGAAGAATAAAGACCTGGAACTTGCTTCAAAAGGAGTAGTTTGCTTGGAGTTGGATGTCCTATTTAATCCAGTAAGTTTAAATGTTTTCACTTAATTCCTCCTCTGTATAAGAAACTGGAACGCCTAAACTTGCCAGTGCCAAGGGGTTTGGTTTTTTAAACACAGGAACTGAACGGAGAAGGTCCTGACCTGGTTGCATCTGGAGGGAAGGTTGGGCTTTATTCTTTTTATAAAGAAATACTGGCAGATCACAATGCTGCAACATTCCATCCAAGTTGATGTGACAATGAAATGGCAACTTTGGGCTGGGGATGACCACAGATGTTTTGGGAAGAGGTGTGGGTTATTGCACGCAAGGGCTTAATTTGCAGCAACAAAAAAGGGAGTTAATATTTACATTCCTGTGCAGGAATTTTAACTACTAATTCTTCCCAGAAAGTTGACCCACAATATCCTATTCAGAGGGTGTTAACAGGAACAAAAACTCAGACATGGATCTGGTGGTCTCAGCTTGCTTGTCCCGTCATCTCTTACTGAATTAAATTCTGTTTTACAGTCGCTTTTGCTGGATGGAATGTAGCTCAGCTCTTATTAGCCACTTATTACAGTGATGTAGGAAGCAAAGTTTTATTTATTTAAATGGCTGATAGGTACTCTTTTGCCTTGAATGGAGTTTAGGTTTGGGATGTTGCTTTAGGGAACAATGATCAACACTCTTTGCCAAAGAACAAGCTCAAATATATTATGGCTCCCCTTTTCCGGAGGCTTTCAAAGATGTTCCCAGGCCATTTCTTTTTTCAGATAGACTGGAATCTACCTATTTAAGTATCTATTAGCCATCACTGTAGTGTCTGGGAACCTCTTTATAATCTTTAGTTTATTGTATTTACACAACACCGCAGTAAGATAGGAAGGTACTGTTTCCAATTTACAGATGGGATATTAAGGCCAGAGTAGGCTAGACCAAGGTCACACAAAAGTTTGTGACAGAGCCAGTGCCATGTCCACTTGACCATTCTCCTACCTATGGCTAAGATGCTACTTTTTGTGGTCTAAATTATGATACCTTTACTCATATTTGGGTAGCACTTTACTCCATGAGTCATTCCATTGACTTCAGTGGACTTATTATTAGAGTAAGGGAGTATTCAGCATGAATAAGTAAATCACAATCTGGCTTAAGTGGCTAAGGGTGTTACAGGAGTGTAAAATACTTTCGGCTGTTCTTGGATGTCCCTTCTAATACCTTAGTATTAAATATGCAGCATGAATAGGACATTTGGGGATGTGATCTTCAGTTCCCGTTTCTTTTTTTAGAACTTTTCTGTATGGGGTTGATCCAACAGAGGAACAGAAGGGAGTTTGCAGAGCTGTGTGCTGAGCGAAAGCATGGAGCTGCTCACCCCCTGCAGTCTGCCACTCTGCAGGCAGTTAGATCTATTGGAGTAACCTGGATGAGTGCCAGAATTGTGCAGAATAACTGATATGTACACCTAACACCTTGTCATAAACCATTTAGAGACTGAAACAAATAAATAAGTAAAGGACACCAGAGCTCCAAATCAATATGATTATACCAAGCTTGAATGGTAACATTCTAAATAAATTATT